CAAAGGGAATGTATAGACACCAGTCTAACGTTTCAGCGCTTGGAACAGAACGCTCAAATCTTGAAACGCTTCATAGATTTCCTCTCTTAACGCAGAGCGCTCTAAACGAAAAGTATGTGAGCAGCCTAAGGCAGCCAGTGCAATGGGCGTCTAAAAAGAGTACAATTTCACCCTGAGGAGTCAAAGGGGGGGGGGGGGGTCGTTACTCCCAATATCTTCTTGGGTTGGAAAAAGTGAAGAGCACTGCGCTAAAACGATCCTCATAAACCAGGAAAAGGGAACTACAACGAGAATTCCCGCAACGCGCACGTACCTTTTAGCCGCATTCCAGTGACCGCAAGAACTGGATTAAATTCTACTGTGAAACTGAACCAAAGTCATGATGCACTATTTCCCGTGTAGCGATCCAAAAATTTGGGTCTCAATCACTATCGAGTTGGAGAGGAGATCGCGTTGAAAACTCACTTGAGCTCGCAACCAACAACCAAGAGTCTAGGTTTTTCAAGAATGTGTTTTAATGTAGAGGCATCCCAACCCCTCTTACTCGATGCACCTCTATTCCAGTTAACAACCACCGTGTTAAGCACATAATAAGATACAACAACACGGAAGTCGCTGTGCGTTCCAGACCAGATGTCCGCAGATATTTGCGCATGCTAGGCGGCAGACTGCATAAATAAATAAATGGCTTCCCCTTGATCAGTTCTTTTTTAGGATGTGGTACGCATCCTACTTCTGCTCAGAGTCGTAGCTGCTTGTGCAATGCGATGGGCCTATACAATGACTTGCGGGGGCCAGCCGATGTACAAGTCAGTGTTTTATCCTCCCAGACGAATCTGGTACCAATTTACCGTCCCCGAGGGTAGAAGGCTTGGTTGGCCTGGGCGGGAGTCGACCTGGGATTTGAACTCAGGATCGCGCAAATGGTAAGTGCGCCATGGTCACTACACCATCCTTCGACGCACAACCAGAACTATGGAAAAGTGAATTCAATATGAGGCTCACCTTTGCTGTACAATTTCAGACGTCCTTGTACCGAAGTAATTGCTCCAAGCACAGAAAGCCTATTCACACGCGATTTAATATTCGATGCAGTACCATATTCATCAGCAAGCATCTTTTGAACCCGAGCAATCTGATCTCGTGGGGGGATAATCAGTGAAATCATAGAAGTACCATTTCTAAAAATAATTGCGATAAAATATAAAAGATTTCAAATACACTGAAGATGATAGGACCGAAACACACCCTCTAGCCAGCTCTAGACTTTTTATAAGCCTCTTAATCTTCCACATTTCGACATTTCGGTCAGCCGAATCCTCGACACCGGCGACAGGTGGTGGAGCCGACATGGTTCGCTGAGCTTACCAACAGGTGAGGAGTTCGCCTGGGAAATTTCTCATTGATAATATTATAAAATAATATTAAAAAAACTGAGGCACGACAATACTGGTTCAGTTCCTTATATCACATTCCCTGATAATACATGTGAATAATAATCATTTCTTTGCGATTATCTCATGAGCACGAGCTATGAACGAAGGAATAGCGCTATTCGGACGAGGCGGAACTTCGGTGCGTTGGCATTTCGAACCTGATTTTTTTTGCGAAAAAACAACTTTCTCCACACCTTCTAGCTTTGGGCGAACTCACAACTCCATTTCTTCTCAATCGGGGGCTTTTGAGACTTTGGGAGTTGGGAAGATGTCAAGTGAGCCTCCCGAAGTATGTAAGTGAAAATGAGGTCCGATGAGAAATTTACATAGCCCAGACTGGAGTAAATGGGATTTTTTTTGAATATCCAAAACTTGCGAAAGCGTTCCGTTCCCCGTGACAATTCATGAATGAAGTTCACGACCATTGCTTTATATTTTGAATTCAAGCTTCAAACAGGACATGAAAAGATCGACCCACAGAAGTTGCTCCCCCACCCTTATGGGCCGAGATCAGGACACCGCTATCGCTTGTGAATGATCACACACGGGCAGGGGCTCGCTATTGACGCGAGAAGGTGGGGTCGCATTTGGTCTGAGGGAATTTTTGTGGTTCATTTCTCTTGCTTCCACGGACGCTATAAAGGTGCGCGGTTGTAATTAAGGTCGCTTATTGACTGAGAGGGACTGCAAGATATGTACAACTCTATTTCCGATAGTTGAAAATTGACTTGATCCGACGACCTCTCCCCCCGCCTCGAGGATCTCTGGCTGAAAAACTGGCAAACGGTTTCGGGGAAAAGAATGGTAGGAAGTCAGCGAAAATCTCGGGTAGTGGTAGGTAGGTATGAGGGCGTCGTATTATTCAGGAAATGCCATGTCATCACAACGCGATGGCGTGCCCTGGCTGAGATATGTTGGCGATCCATCACTGACTTGAGCAGTGTTGCATTAGGCTATCTTGTAATGGGAGCGTGACCTATCAACAAATCGCCTACTTTTGACTCATTGTCTTGCCTTTGGTGTGTCGCTAGCGCCAGCCATGTTCGTCGGTTTGTGGCTACATTACAAGAAAACAATTAATTATTTAATAATCTCTGGCGCACAGCAAAGAAACAGCGCTGGCAGTGCCGCTGTGCATTGTGTACAGGCTGGGAGGGACAACAATTGACGATAATTGAAAGCGACGAGAACTGTACGCAGCATGACAACTTGAAGCATTCAGTAGGTGATGCCAAGCGCTTAGTGCGTCCAACCTGCCCCTTTTCGTAACTATCTCCGCTGGAGGGCCAAGAACACTTGTTGGAAGCCCGCGTTCTCACCTTACACTCAAAACAGAAAAAGTGTCAGAAGTAACTTCCAACAACTATATACTACGTCGGTTCACCGATGGCAGGAATTCCAAGATCTGTAGAACTCCTTAATATGTGTAGAAATACTGGTATAATAGTGACTGAGGATCTTTTGTGGGGTAGTTCAGTAGTGTAGCGAACAGGACCCCGAATTTAAAGCCATGCGCCATGCAAAGAATATGAGTTGGTGCGGAGCCTCATAACTAGCATGACAAGATGATAAATAATTTGCAAGAGTAGATAAAAGTAGAAGAAAATTCGTCCGAAATGTCACATATAGAACCACGTGGTGAACACACATTTGTACGAGCTCTACGCGAAGAAAGGCCGTGGTCGGACGAGTGCTTACTGTTGGTATCGAAGCATAACAGTTTTTTCTACCTTACCACCTCACTCTCACCATAAATGGAGAGAGCTAGCAGCGGAACAACCGCACCACCGGGAACCCTTTAGCAGCGAGAGTTGGGTGTGGCGCTGGCCAGTGGGCGGGGCGCTGCCTCCAGCGTTGCTTCAAGGGGGACTACTTGCGATAACTTATAATATGTTCATCACCTATACAAAAAACAAAAAGTGAGCTGTAAGCCTTAATAAGCGAACTGTATTATGGCCTAGGTCCGGTCTTCGAGGGTTGATGAAGATCATCCTGACCCCCATGCCAGATAAGAAGCGGGCCAAGGATAAATTGTCGTCTCAGACGGTGAGACATGAGGAATGTGATCGTTGTCGGAGACGGGAGTTTAACTGGAAATAAGCTAATCGAATTCACAGCTCATTTTATAAAAATATGAAGTGGCCCATACCAAATCCGCGGACGAAGCCCTATATATACCATTTTCGCTTTAAATTCACCCTTTTTCAAACCAAATTCACCCTTTTTCAAACCAAATTTCACATCAAATTAACCACACTTATAAGGGCGGGCATCATCAAGCAGATCACGCCAGACATCACTGCGAGCCCCGCCCCGACGGCCACGCCCACTTGTCAGCGCGGACATAGATTCTCAAATCTTGTTTCATAACTTCTGCTTTTGCTGTTTCCCACAAACACTCTTGACTGGAAACGACCGGGCATTGACACATGGCCGACTCCGCCCATTTTCTAAAGGGTTTGGCAATCTAGGCTGACCACGCCCACTTGCTTTTCGCGGACTTTTGATATTTTCTCAAAATTTTTGCATTTTAGGGCTGCTGCGTGAAGCCCCGCCCATCATGAGAGGCTCCGCCCACTTTGGAGAAGCCCGCCCACTTTTCAAAAATGATGCAAATCGGCAGTATAGAGCCTTGGCTTGCATGCTAGGGTATTGCTGATCATTCGGAATAAACTTTGCCGGATTTTCTTGTTCCGAGTGACGAACGAGACCCTAGCATGCAAGCCAAGTCTCTATACTGCCGGTCTGCACCATTTTTGAAAAGTGGGCGGGGCTTCTTCAAAGTGGGCGGAGCCTCTCACAGTGGGCGGGGCTTCACGCAGCAGCCCTAAAATGCAAAAATTTGAAAAAATATCGAAAGTCCGCGAAAAGCAAGTGGGCGTGGTCAGCCTAGATTGCCAAACCCTTTAGAAAATGGGCGGAGTCGGCCATGTGTCAATGCCCGGTCGTTTCCAGTCAGAGTGTTTGTGGGAAACAGCAAAAGCAGAAGTTATGAAACAAGATTTGAGAATCTATGTCCGCGCTGACAAGTGGGCGTGGCCGTCGGGGCGGGGCTCGCAGTGATGTCTGGCGTGATCTGCTTGATGATGCCCGCCCTTATAAGTGGTGGTTAATTTGATGTGAAAAGTGAGGGTGAATTTGGTTTGAATAAGGCTTGAATTTTGGTCTGAAAAAGGAGTGAATTCGGACCTCGAAAAAGGGGTGAATTTGGTTTGAAAAAGAGCGAATTTGGTTTGAAGGGTGAATTTAAAGTGAAAATGGTATATAACGGGCCACCCACTTGACAAATTCCTATAATATTCCGAGCAAACTACGCGTACATTCCTGTAATGTTCCCGTGAAGCCACGAAAAGTTACGTGTTTCATTTTCACGCCCTCTTCGGCGCAATTTGGCATTGAGGGCGGGGCAACTTGCGCCCTCAATGCAAACCCGAATTGCGCCGAAGGGGGCGTGAAAATGGGGGGCACTTCGCTGTCATACGTGAACAAGCTTAAACTTTTCGGTGGGGGTCCTTGCACGATAGGCCCAGAGCGCCAGAGAGGGATTACTTTACAGACTTAAGGCCATTCGCTGTAGAAAAAACACTATGCGAGCCAGGAGGATGAGCTTTTTCGAAGGGAGGGACACCGGGGTGGATGAGCCACTTAGTATGCGTGAAAAGTTGGAATGTGAAAGGTCAAAGTGGCCATAAATCACCATTCAGGCAAGAGAGCGCAGAGAAAAACACAAAGTTTGGCGCCATTAAAGGGATTGAGTTTTAGTTGTCCGTAGACCGAGTTTCGTTCACATTTGACAAGAGCCCACATGTATCACCAAGGTGAGATAAGTAACTCAACCGGCCAAATGGAACTAGCGAGCTTTGCCTAACTATGCGCGCCTCCCCCCAACAGTTACAGCGACCATCCTCCCCTACTTCTTTTGTCATGTTGAGTTATATTTTGTGCTGAAGTGCAGTTGAGTGTCCTTCGTCGAATCAGGGATTTTTGTTTTAAAGCCAGACCCTGCGATAGTATATATATGAATAGTTGTGTTTTATTTACAAACTATAGTCGCTAAAGCAGGCGTCCGCGATCAACCAAAGTGAAAAAACCCTCCAATGAAAACGAACGCGGAGTACGCAACCATAGCGGATATCCCACTCTTGCGGCTCGAAATGTATTGATTGACGAGGGCGGAGTCAACAAGGCTGAGCTGACGCCTCCTTCCCTGTTAATCCCGCCCCGACTGGTTAACAGTTATCAGTGCTTGCTGGCATTGATAAACGCTAAGTTTCTGGAGTTCCGAGGCCGCGACGTGTATTGGAGAACTCACCAAAGGGTCTGCGAAACTCGTCCACATGCCTTAAATTTCGTAGGGTCTTATTTCACGCTCTTCCACACCTTTTTCCTACTTTTTTTTTGATTAGTGCTTCATTGGCCACCTGTTCTAACAAATTTGACCCCTGAGACCTGCCAAAGTCCATCGCGGGCGCTGTCTTTAAGTGATTCCTACACTAAAGGAAGAAAAGAAAAAAAAAATTGGAGACCTGATTAAAAATGAACTTGGCAACCTCTCTGGGGCGCGTTCTCCGAACCTGCTCGCTATGCCAACAAAGCGATATCTTGCCGTACCCGGAGACCTTGCACCGACTACTAGAACAAGAAAGGACGCCTACGGATCGCTTGAGCGTCTTTCGTGACCTTGTCTTCCATTCGGAATAAAAATCGACAAACAAACAACGCCACAAACTTCGTATCCCTATTCAGAGAACAGAATCACAGAGAAGGATGAAGGACCTCTGGAAAACGCTGAAAAGCTTAATGAAAGCCCACGTGAAAGTGTTCATCAATTACCCACAAACCCATTTCGGAGCTTCAGACTAGGCAATATAATACTTCATCAAAAGTGCTTCACCAGTTCCAGACAATCGAAAGGA